CCAGGCCGATGGCCCCCCCCCCCCCCCCCCCCCAAGTGCACAAATTTTTGTGCACCGGGCCTCTAGTTCTTTTATAACCACAAAAGTAACATGTCAAATAAAAATAGGTCTACTCCCTTCTCCCACTATGTATAAAATATATGAGGATTAAAATCAAACTCTTCTGCCGTCGGCTCAACAATGCTTGTGCCAACCCTGCATCCTTTTCTGCTTTTCCTCAGTGCAATCTTGGAAATGCAGGGGTATTCACGTTCCCAGGCTCATCTCAGTATAAGAAGTTAGAGCCGCTTGATGTCACAAGACAGGCCACAGCCTAATAACCTCAGTGCCCACAGGGCAGGTTTTATTAAACAAGATGCAGTCATGTCGGGTCATCGGAGGGGTGACACTATAGGCAAGGCATGAGAAGGCTCAGAGCCACAGCCCTCCACCTCCAGGGTCGGAACCAGAAGGCTGGTGGCCCGGCTCTGCTAGGCACAGTGGAAGAGAACCTGGGTCCCTACCTGGCCCTTCGTTCTCTCTCTGGGGATTTGAAAGTTAACTTCTGGGTGCAAAGAAATGAAGCCCTAACATTTGATTTTGGTCTTTTTTAACACTGAGAATGGGTCTCTGTCCTAGTTATATCAGTTCTGGATCTAATTAGTCTCTTATTAAAATGGAAGGGCCCAATCCACTGACACTGCACCCAAAACCCCTTAGTGATTAAAACCATCTTGCAGTCTTCCCCGAGAACACAAACACCCAGCCCTTGGTTCTCCCCAACTGTGAAAAATACTCTGGCTTCCCTTCATCGTCAGGGTGAGCAAAGTTTGACAGAGGGACATGACAGGGAGCCAACGGGGAGTCTTTTCTGACTTCTAACCTGCTCTCGCTGGCAGGTCCACTGGTACATGCAGACAGCGAGGTCAGATTCCACCACTGAAACACACAGCTGACATATGAACACAAAACTCCAGCCAGAGCAAATGGCTTTGGGTAAATGTTCATATTAAATGGCACCAGATGACCATGAGTAACAAATGTAAGGGAAAGGGTAAATAAGAAAAAAAGGAGGGGGAGGGGGAACAAGCCTAACTTTCTTGCCTAAAGATTTTACATATTTTCATAGTTTTATTTTCCTTCAGCCAAAAACCCTGAGGCCTGTATAGTAAGTAAAGGATTTATGGTGATAGGATGGAGCCGTGTACATGCATTTGTCCAGCTCCTGCATGGACACATAGGAGCTAGAGAATGACACAGGCCTCTGCTCCTCCCCCATCTTCCCCTCCACGTCTCCAACCCCCTCCACAGGCCCCCTAGGTTGCTTATTATTACAGACCACTCCTCTTCTCTCCCAGACCTCTCCCAGCTGCCAAGAGCTCCTCCGTAGTCATCGATTCATATACCCTACCCACTCTATCTAAAGGACTCATCTCAAGAGTCCTAAATTCTAGTCCAAAAAGGACAGCCATTTGTGCAATATCTCCTATCAGAATAAACTCAACACTAGGAAACTGAACTCATCTTCCCCTCAAAACAGCTCCAACTTTCTCATGTTTATGCTTCAGAAGCTCAGGCACCTGTCTCCTCTCAACTCTGCTCCCCTTGTCTTATTCTGTTCAGGCCGCTATAACAAAAATACCATAGACAGGGCGGTTTAAACAACAGAACTTTATTTCTCACAGTCCTGGAAGCTAGAAAGTCCACGAACAAGGTGCCAGCAGATTTGGTGTCTGGTGAGGGCCCGCTTCCTGGCTCACAGACACCCCTCTTCTGTGTCCTCACAGGGCAGAGGGGGGAGAGCTCTCTGGATCCCTTTTATGAGGGCACTAACCCCACTCATGAGGACTCCACCCTCATGACCTAATCACCTCTCACCCCCCTTCCCCATCTCCTAATACCATCCAATTGGGAATTTGGCTTCAATATGTGAATTAGGGGGAACATTAACATTCAGTCCATAGCATTTCTCTACCCCCAGTCAGCACATTTACTCAATGTTTTTCTTTGCAGTGCATTTCATCTTCACCTTACCCATGCCCAACCTCAGCTCCCCAAGATGACCCTTATAACCTCAAAGACATTCTCCCTACCTCTGCTCTCTCCCCTTGGTAACATTACAGAGCTGGGATTCTCCCACCACCTCCTAAAAAAAAAAAATAAACAAACAAAAAACTACAGTTTTCCCATGCCTACTCTTAAAGTCCAAACTCCCTAACCTCTCAGTCCTAGTTCCACGCTATCTAAATCCTACCTCTTTCATGGACTAGTTCAAATCCTACCTTCTAAATCCCTATAGCAATCGTTCACAAGTTATTTAGCAGTTAAGTACTACTTATTATGACACCTTGTCTATTAGCATCTTGAATTTTAACTTATAGGAGGGAATCCTCATAGTTGGTTGAGAAAACAGATTGGCAGTTTCTTAAAAAGCTAACATAAAATTACCATTTTTATCAGAGACTCCTACATATGTATCCAAAAGAAATGGAAACAGACTTGCACAAGAATATTCACAGCAGCATTATCCATAATAACCAAAACAATGAAACTTACACCTTCACCATCTGATGAATGGGTAAAATGTGGAGTATCATACAAAGGAATACTACTCAGGAAACAAAAGGACAACCTGGATGAAGATATTAATATGGATGAACCTTAAAACATTATGCAAAGTGGAAAGACATGCTGGTGATTCCTGTTATACGAGACATGCAGAAAGGCAAATTTATAGACAGAAAGTTGATTAGTGGTTGCCTGGGGCTTAGAGTGGAAACAGGGATCATGGGAGAAGATAAAAAACTGATTTGTTGGGATTGTTGCACTGCTTGATAAATTAAATCACTGAATTGAATACTTGATGAGTCAATTTTATATGTAAAACGCACTTCAATAAAGTTAACATTTCTTTAATTACAGTAGGTACTCAAATAGACAGAAAGTTGATTAGTGGTTGCCTGGGGCTTAGAGTGGAAACAGGGATCATGGGAGAAGATAAAAAACTGATTTGTTGGGATTGTTGCACTGCTTGATAAATTAAATCACTGAATTGAATACTTGATGAGTCAATTTTATATGTAAAACGCACTTCAATAAAGTTAACATTTCTTTAATTACAGTAGGTATTCAATTACTTGAATATTTAATCTCTTACCTGTTTTTATTTTCCTCACCACCCTTTCCCCTGCAATTAGACTCTAAACATCTTGAGGGCACAGACCATGTCTCCCACTTATTTTTTATGCTAATTTTAATATGAATTGCACCTACTCCAAAGCTATACATATTATTCTGTGTTCCTAACAATTTGCAATTTGTGGCTTTGACTTTTGCCTTGCCAGGCTATGGAGTGACGCATTCAAAAGCATCAAGGACGGAATGGTGTATGTGGTAGTTGAATCGCAGCTCCTCTGCTTCAAAGCTAGAACTCAGGGCAAGTTAACTGCCCAAGCCTATTGCCCAGGTCTCTACTGAAAGAAAAAAAAAAGTGGTAACTACCTTACAGAGTTGCTATGACGATGAGTGAGGCAGTCTGGATTAATGGTTGGCCCAGTGCTTGAAACATGCACAGCTCACCGGATGCTGGCTGAAACATGCATGCACAAACCCAGCCCCAAAGGCACGTGCCCTAGAGAAGCATCTTTCAAACAGGACACAACCTTCAACAAGAGAGTGGACACCTACAGACTGCGCTACCCTCTTCTTGTCATCTACCAGGCAAGAGTGGCCCTGTGTCAAATGGAGTTGAAAAGTAAATATTAAAATTATAAAACTAAGAAAGAGTGGCCCTGGAACATCTTTTCTCCCTCCCAAGCCCACTGAAGTGTATGTATGACAGAAATACTACTAATCATTTAACAAAAGGAACTAAACATACCTACAACTTTCAACATAGAGTTTATCTCCCAAGGGGGATTGCACTTCCTAGCCCCCTTGGTGTTTAGCAGGGCCAATGTCCAGCTCTAACCAACGAGAAAAAGTGACCTGTCACTTCCAAACCAGAGCATGCTGCCAAGACCCTCCCAGTCCTTTCCCTCTCCCACAGCAATGGTCCAGCCGCTGGCTGCTCTTGAGGACGGCGTGGAGATCCCCAGCCACCTGCGATGGACAGGGAGTGTGAGAATAAACCTTGTTCTTGGCCAGAGTTTTGGGGGTTGTTTCCACAGCATAATCTAGACTTGCCTGACAGTCACAAGGCTCTCAGGCTATGAAATTATATGCTTTAAATATCTCACCCAAAAAAGCCTTCTAAAACTCTTTATTCCCTGGCTCCGTGACAAGCCACTCTCCCTGTTTTCTGGCAACTTCTGTAACCATTTCTCCATTCCCTCATGGACATACTTCCTCTGCCTAACTCACTAAACCCTGCTGTTAGCCAGGGTTTTGTCCTCAGCTCATTACTGTTCTCATTCCACATGCTCTCCAGGGAGACCTTACCCACTCTCCTGATTTATCCACATGTGAAGCCGTCCAAAGCTATCTCCAGGCTAGTTCAGGGATTCCCTTACACCCAAAGTCCTGCTGGGCCTAGCTGACCCATAGCATCATAAATCCAACATATCCAAAAGCAAACACATCAGTGCCAAGCCACCTCAACATGTATCTCCGCCTACCTCTCCCTTAGTTAACAGCACCTAAATCTACTGTCGCCCAGATCAGAAACCTGACAGTAGAGTACTCCCTCTCCCCCACCTCCACCCTCCCTCAACCAACCAGTCCAGTCCAGTTCACCTCCCTTAAATGTGTGTTATTGTTTGAGGGAAGGGGAGATAGTTTTTTTATTTGTTTAACTCTTATTACAGTATATACTGAGAAAAATATGTCAAGTTCAGAAAATGTCTTATTTTGGTATCAGCTATGACAGCAATGTTCTACCCTGAAGAGACAAGTAGTTTAGTCCAGACCAAGAAACAAGAGAGCTATAATTTCATAATTATGTCAGTAGCAACCTACATCTTCATCTCATCTCTTTAGCTACTTGCTTCAGTAAATGTCTCAGAACACTGCCAAAGAAGCTGTCATTTTTTATTAGTCTCTTAAGCAATAATTCATATTATTGTTCAAGTTGAAAACAGGGCAAATCTTATGGTTCTTTTTATGGAGTTCTCTTCTTCTAAGTCTACTAGTGCCCGGTGCATGGATTTGTGCACATGGAAAGGAAATAAGTGGCCGGCGGGGTAGAACTGGGCGAGAAGGGCCGGACACGCTCTGGAGAACCTCCCGTGGTCCCTCCCTAGCCGGCTGCACACCTGGGGCGGTGTCATGCAAAACTAAGAAAGAGTGGCCCTGGAACATCTTTTCTCCTGGGGCAGTGTCATGGCTCAAAGGGCGTCTGTGGACTGAGCGGAGTCCCTCCAGCAGATGGGGTCCCTTGGCCTGGCCTATGGGGATGGGGCTGAAACCAGTTCTCCGACATCCCCCCGAGGGGTCCTGGATTGCGAGGGCGGTTCTCGGGAAACGCACCCCAGAATCGGGCTCCCTCCTGTCTGGTTCCGGGGTGCGTCACCTGAGAACCGCCGCTGTCAAGTCACCGCAGCTCGGCAGTTCCTGCGTTGAGCATCTTCCCCGATGGTCAGTGCACATCATAGCCCCAGGTCAGAGCGTCTTCCCCCTGGTGGTCATTGCACGTCATAGCTACCGGTCGGACAGTCAGACGGTCGCTTAGCCTTTTATATCTAGCATCCACTAATTCATGCTGTTCTCTAAACTGCTTGGTTTTCTAAAACGGAATAAAATAATGCTGGTATGTAAAACCAGAGCCAATGCTTCTCACCTATGCAGCCAAAACTCTTGCAATTTCCCAAGCAAGGTGGACCACACGAATAGCACCTACTCACTGGGCAGTGCCATGCCCACTGTCCTCTGGTTATTGTAACTACTGCACAGCAGTCTGTGCTGACCACGCTGGTCTTCAGCCTCAAACAGCAGTCAGAAGCTATTCTCCATACAGAAGAGTTCTCACAGCAGCACAATTAATCACGAAGGACCGGAAAACAAATGCCCACTTCTTATTGCTTTACAGTAAGCCAGCAACAAACACAAATGAGTAATTATAAACATGACTCGACCAGAATGTGCTCCTATACTTAAAATGCTTTTGTTAAAACTAAAATCCACAACTTCTGCCAAGAACTTAATATTCTCAAGCAGAATCAATTTACTTTAAGAGGCAAAGAAAACTACTGTCAAATGTACTATGTAATTAAAAGCCTATCATACTCAATGTAGACAGTGTTCGTGTCACTTTAAAGATCCGAACACCTTTTTCCTTTCTGCAAACTCTTCTGCAGAAAGAGCTATCACTCTAAATCCAACAGTGCAGAGCAATTATGCCTCATTTCTACTTCTTTCCTCACAATGGCAAATTTGTCAGTCCTTAACTCAACCTGATAAAAGCTCTGATTTCCAGGCCAAACATCCACTATACACACAGAAAGCCCAAAATGGAATGAGGCATGGAAGGGTGGTACACCTGAAATCTTCAGATTCTGGAAACACTGGCACCTTCCTTTCAGTGAGCTCCAAAAAACTGTGGATGTCACCATTTTAATAACTTCAATTCAAGCACTACCCCCGCCCCCCACAACTGGTAAACAGCCAATGACATGGCAAGTATTCTCAGTACTGCCTGAAATGAGGGGAAGGAGGGTGCAACCAGATTTATGTGACTTGCCCAAAACTGTCGATCTAAAACATGACTATCGGGAGAGTCACCAACAACTGGAAACTGCTTACTCTGAAAACAGTGCCAAATCTGCTGGCTCATTTTTTCAGCTGGTTTTTTAATTCAACGTTTTCTCTTTCTTCCAGACAAAGCACAGCACTTTTCTCTCAGAACACACCAGTCAGGGTATTGCTAACTAACTTGACTGGGTGGCTTTATACTCCCACACCAAACAGTGTAGCTGGCTGCTAGGAAAGAGGTCTCATAGCTTAGAAATACATCATATGAAGTGTTAAAGATGTGTGTGAAACGATTTTTAATTGCTTGCAATAGCACAATGTGAAGGCAACATCAGGAAACCAGGTGTTTAAAACACTTAAGTGCTACCCCCACACCGGTAAACAGCCAAATGACACCATGTTACTCAATTCTTTAATACAAAAACTTCCCAGACGTATCTGTTGAACTTGACTTTGCAGTTTAATTCTATGTTTTGATGGCAGTGAGGGAACCCTGGAGCTATTACTCCCTTGTAAAAAAATGTCAACACCTGATTTACTCACCTGGCTTAAAAAAAGAGAGGAAAATATAAAATAAGTATCCTTTGGTTAGCAATCATCCTTTTTAATGATCTGTTTGCATACCTGTGTACGGGGGCTACTTTGGATATAGAAAATACCGAGGATCACAAGACAATAAACTTCTCAATCAGGACATCAACAGCATCAGGGTAAGCAGGAAATAAACTTTACCAAGAGACTGACATTTGCACTTTTGACAGAACTGAATTACAGAGCAAATTCACTGAAACAACAACAACAAAAAACCCTGTCCTTGTAAAGGCTAATCTTTAACCCCCAAAGAAGTGTTCCGATTCTGATACACATACCACACGACTGGCTAAGAAAATAAATCGCGGTGCTTAGCAACAGGGCACCGTAACTACAGTGAGCGGCCCTGCGCTCACCCTCGCCGGCAACCACTGAGGCCAGCAAGGCCAGGCCCCGGGAGAGTCTCCTATTTCTCCACACAAGCTGCCGCTGTCTCCTTATTGAAGCCTCGGATGGAGAGATCATAGACCACCTCCTCCACTTTCTTCACGTCGTACTTCAAGCCATCGTAGCGCTTCCTCAGGGAGTCGTTTTTCAGGTTGAGGAGGCGGAACCCGGAATCCAGCTCATTGATGAAGGTGGAGATGTGAAGGGGCCGGGAGTAGTCTCCAGCAGTCACACTGTTGACAGACAGCCTCGACTGTACAAGGAAAGAGAGACTGGGATGTGTTACAATGTGGCTCCACCTTACCATGTCCTCCAAATCACGACAAGACCCTCAGGCCACAACACTTCACATATTATCTTTGATGAATACATTTTTGACAAATGCTTAATATTACTACTAACTTAATAACTTAAGAAATCATTTCTCTTTTGTTAGAGTTTCTATGGGCTACAATTTATTCTACATAAATATTATTTGTAAACCCACAGTGAACAGCCTTATAACAGCTTTTTTTTTCATCTTTAGAATTATTTTCATAACATAATTTCTAAGGAAAGAGACTAAGAAGATAAAAGCAAGAATAATTAATATAGTTATGTAGGTAAGTTGCTCTCCAAAACAATTACATGAGTTAACACAGTTACCAGGAATATGTTTTTCCACTACTTTGAAACAAAGAGGTATAATCATCTCTTTAAAATTCACACATTAGTAAATATGCACCTCGTCAGAATGGCATTTCTCTGGTGACTAGCAAAACTCATACCGTGCACAGTCAATGACTATCTGGTGACCAACAGATGGCTTCTAAATGAATCAGACTCCCGGGATTTTTGTACCCATTTTAAAAAATAACAGCGAAGTGGGAAGGTGAAAAAAATTAACGGCTCCAGGACCAGACAACTTCACAGGTGAATTCTACCAAAATTCAAAGAAAATTTAATACCTATCCATCTCCAACTCTTCCAAAATATTGAAGAGGAAAGAATGAATGTTTCCTAACTCAGCCAACATTATTTGGAAACCAAAACCAGGCAGGAACAACACACACACACACACAAAGATTACAGGTCAATATCTCTGATAAACATAGATGCAAAAGTCCTCAACAAAATACTAGCAAATCAAATAAAACAATACATTTAAAGCAGCGGTTCTCAACATGTGGGTCGAGACCCCTTTGGAGGTCGAACGACCCTTTCACAGGGGTCACCTAAGACTATCGGAAAACACATATATAATTACATATTGTTTTTGTGATTAATCACTATGCTTTAATTATGTTCAATTTGTAACAATGAAATTGGGGGTCACCATAACATGAGGAACTGTATTAAAGGGCCGCGGAATTAGGAAGGTTGAGAACCACTGATTTAAAGGATCATACACCACAATCAAATGCATTTCACTGTAGGGATACAAGGATGGTTCTATATTTGCAAATCAATCAATGTAGTACACATTAACAAAATGAGGTAAAAATCTTATGATCATTTCACTAGATGCAAAAAAAGCATGTGACAGGATACAACATCCATTTATGATCTTTTTAAATATATATATATCATTTTTATTTCAGAGAGGAAGGGAGAGAGAGGAAGAGAGAGAAACATCAATGATGAGAGAGAATAATCTATTGGCTGCCTCCTGAACACCCTCCTACTGGGGATGGAGCCCACAACCTGGGCACATGCCCTGAACAGGGAATGAAACTGTGATCGCCTGGTTCATAGGTTGATGCTCAACCCCTGAGCCACACCAGCCAGGAAGCCATTTATGATTTTTTAAAGAAACCTCTCAATAAAATGGGTATAGAAGGAAAAGTGCCTCAACATAATAAAGGCCAAATAAGACAAAGCCACAGCTAACTTCATACTCAACAGTGAAAAACAAAGCTTTTCCTCTAAGATCGAACAGAAACAAGACAAGGATGCCCACTCTTGCCAGTTTTACTCAACACTACTACAAGTCCTAGTCAGAGAAATTAGACAAGAAATAAAAGGCATCCAAATTGGAAAGGAAAGAGTAAAACTGTCACTATTTGCAGATGGCATGATTTTATATATATAAAACCCTAAAGATCCCACCAAAAAAATATCAGAAATAAGATTTCAGAATACAAAATCAACATACAAAAATCTGCTGCATTTCTATATGCTAACAATGAACTATCAGAAAGATAGATAAAGAAAAACAATCCCATTTACAACTGCAATAGAAAAAAAATACCTAGAAATAAGCAAAGGAAAGGAAACACTTGTACACTGAAAAGGAAAAGACATTCTTTCTTGAAAGAAATTAAAGACAAAAAAAAAATGAAAAAAACATTCTGTGTCGATGGACTGGAAGAATTAACATTGTTAAAATGTCCATATTACCTACAGGAATCTACAGATTCAACGCAATCCCTATTAAAATCCCAATGGCATTTTTCACAGAAATAGAACAAAACAAATCCTCAAATTTTGGAACCACAAAAGACCCCAAATAGAAGTCCTGAGGAAAAGAGAACACAGCCAGAGATATCACACTACCCAATTTCAAACTACACTACAAAGCTACAATAATCAACAGTATGGTAATGGCAAAAAAAAACACAGAGAGAGACCAATGGAACAGAACTGAGCCCAGAAATAATCCCAGATATATATGGACAAGTAACTTACAGCAAAGGAGACAAGAATATACAATGGAGAAAGTTTCTTCAATAAAGCTGGGAAAACTGGACAGCCCTATGCAAAAGAATGAAAGTAAACTACTATTGGCCCTAACCAGTTTGGCTCAGTGGATAGAGCGTCAACCTGCGGACTCAAGGGTCCCCGGTTAGATTCCGGTCAAGGGCATGTACCTTGGTTGAGGGCACATCCCCAGTAGGGGGTGTGCAGGAGGCAGCTGATCGATGTTTCTCTGTCATCGATGTTTCTAACTCTCTATCCCTCTCCCTTCCTCTCTGTAAAAAATCAATAAAATATATTTTTTAAAAATAAAAATAAAAAAATAAACAAATGGGACTACATCAAACCAAAAAGCTTCTGCACAGCAAAGGAAACCATCAACAACAAAGGCAACCAACCAAATGGGGCAAGATATTTGCAAATGGTACTTACAATAAGGTACTAATTCAAAAAATATATAAAGAACTCATACAACTCAACAACAACAACCACCACCTAATTAAGAATGGGCAGGCCCTGGCCAGAGTAGGTAAGTGGTTAAAGCGGCGGCCTGTGCACCAGAGGGTCTCATGTTCAGTTCCCGGTCAAAGGGCATGCACCTCAGATGCGGGTTCACTCCCCACCCCTGGTTGGGGTGCATGCAGAGGCAACCAGTCGATGTGTGTCTCTCACATCGATGTTTCTTCCTCCCTCCTTCCCTCCCTCCCCGTCTCCTTACCTCCCTTCTACTCTCTCTGAAAAGCAAAGGAAAAAATATCCTCAAGGTGAGATTAACAAACAAAAAAAAAAAATGGTCAGAGGATCTGAATAGCCATGTTTCCAAGAAGACATACAGATGGCTAAGAGACACATGAAAAGATGCTCAATATCACTAATCATCAGGGAAATGCACATCAAAATCACAATGAGATATCACTTCACACCTCTTCACACCTGTTAGAATGGCTATTATCAAAGAAATAGGAGATAATAAATGCTGGGGAGGATGTGAAGGAAAGGAAACCCTCATACACTATTGATGGGAAAGTAAATTGGTGCAGCCACCATGAAAAATAGGATGGAGATTCCTCAAACAACTAAGAAGAGAACTATTATGGTCCACCTATTCTACTTCTGGGTATTTATCCAAAGAATATAAAAACATTAATTTGAAAAGGCATATGCACCCGTGTTCACTGAAACTTTATTTTTAACAGCCAAGATATATAAAAAATTAAGTGTCCATGGATGGATGAATAAATAAAGAAGTGGTATATATACAATGGAATACCACATAGTCATTAGAAAGAATGAAATCTTGCCATTTGTGACAACATGGGTGGACCTTGAGGGTATTATGGCAAGAGAAATAAGATGGAGAAAAATAAATGCTCTCACTTATATGTGGAAACTTAAAAAAAAAAGCAAAACAAAAACAAACTCACAGATACATACAACAGACTGGTGTTTAATGGAGGGAACTTTGGGGAGGGGGAGTGAAATGGATGAAAGGGGTCAAATACATCGTGACAGATGGAAACCAGACTTTGGTGGTGAGCATGCAATAGAGTATAGAGATATCAAGCTATAATGTTGTACACCTGAAATTTCTATGTTAGTATTAACCAATTAACAGTAAAAAATAAAAAGAAAGAAAATGGCAAATTACTAAGTATATTACCAGTTCACTAGCAAGAATTAGAACTCCTGAGAGATAATCTTCTACATCCAGATGAAATCCTTTCTCCCGATCTGGCTCAACTAAAAAAAAAAAAATCAAGATAAAAATGAGGTCGTGATATGAATATAATTTAAGCCTTAGCATTTTTTTTTAAGTGTTTGAAAACGGATGAATCATATAAAACAATCTTTTGTTTCCTATTAATTCTTATTTTTCAATTACAGTTGACATACAATATTAACCTTGGCAACTAGACTTCATTGAGAATTTTTCTAGCTCTCAAGCAAAATTCAACTTTCCTGTCCACTCTTCTTTTAAAAAGTAATACCACAAAAAATGTCAGAGGATATCTGTTTTTAGCAGAAGTCACAATATCTGCAACTGACTTCAAATGGTTGACAAGCGCACACAAACACACACATGCACACAGACACAGACACACCCAGTGAGGAGACTAAGAGGATGTGGCAGAATGTTAAGAGCAGTGAGTCTAAGTGAGCTATAAACAGGCATTCACTGTATTATTCTTCTAACTTTCCTACAGCCTTGACATTTTTAAAAACTAAAGTTTACAAATATAACACCCAAGTACAAAGAGAAGCCACTACATATTTTTAGGTTTTGTGTTTCCAAGTAACTGGTTTTACACCTAGTTCTCATTTGTTATAATAGAGATTATAAGCCAACAGCCTCTTCCACCAAAAATTAACCTATCCATTAGTATTGGTTCTGCAGATCAATACTAATGAAGACACTTACTGCCGAGAATTTCTGTGACTGCTTCTCGAGTCACTAGTGTTTCTGACTCCAAGTACACAACAAAGGCCGCCAGGAAGACCAGCCGCTGCAACACAAACCTCCAGTGCTCATGAAATCTGCACAAAGACAAGCACATAGGTTGAGGGACCAGAGGCCTTAAAAAAGACAGGTTTAGTACAGTCAAGTTCAAACATTTTAGAATTGGAATTCTTTTCCAAATAAAATTTTACGTGAAACCCCAACATACGAAACATGTAAGAGCAATATGACATTTAAATATATTAGATAGATTTAGTGTAGATTTTGCAAGTTCAAATTTATAATTATAAACTAAAAGTTTAATAAATAAGCATGATTCAGTTTTATGAATACAAAAATTTACAGCTGAAGATTATGTTCTTTTTTTTTTTTTAATATATTTTATTGATTTTTTAACAGAGAGGAAGGGAGAGAGATAGAGAGTTAGAAACATCAATGAGAGAGAAACATCGACCAGCTGCCTCCTGCACATCTCCCACTGGGGATGTGCCCGAAACCCAGGTACATGCCCTTGACCGGAATCGAACCTGGGACCTTTCAGTCCGCACCGACGCTCTATCCACTGAGCCAAACCGGTTTCGGCTGAAGATTATGTTCTTAATAAATAAGAACAATGATAGTGCTCTGAGAAAAATATTGACAACTGAAGACTGAGGAGAAACACAATTGTACATCAGCTTCAACACCTAACTCATTCCTACATTTTGAGTGTAGTGTATTAAGAAAATTCTGATTCACACATGTAAGTAATAACTACCATTTGCCATCACTACATAAATAGACTTAAAAAGTCAGGGATACTACGTTAAACTGAGCCAGAAACCTGGAAAAGAAATAGGAAATTTGACAACTTCTGGATATTGATGCTATGCCTCCTGTGGCAACAATTCAGAAAAAAATTTCAACACAATGCAGGCCAAACAAAACCTTCTGAGGGCCAAATCAGCCACAGGGCAGCCTGTGTCTGACTCCAAATTACCTGGTCTCTGAAGACCCTGACAATTCTATCCTCCTATTTTTCTAAGCTTCAGTTACTACCTTTGCAAGGTTTGGCAAACTTTCTCTGTGAAGGGCCAGATAATAAATATTTTAGGCTTTGCAGGTCACTTTCAGTCTGTTACATATTCTTATTTGGCTGTTTTTCTTTTTCTAACAACTTTAAAATAAAGAAGCAATTCTTAGCTTCCAGAGGCAGCAAGCCACGGGTAGTTTGCCAATCCCTGCCTTAAAAAACCTTGTGAGGTTGTGCTACCCACTCCCCACATGCATGTTCTATTTATTGCCCATAAATACGTCTGAAATGAGTATCTTCTTCAGTAAGAAAATAAACATAAGTAGATAGTTTAGGTTCTTATTTACCATATTTTATCAACATCCATTTAATATCTGTGAAATCAGGATGCATTTTACAATCTACATGTTTCACAATTATGATTGGCAACAACTTTTCTTCCATAAAGCAATATATACTTTAAAATAACTGATGGTGTAAATCCAACAACATACGGCATAAAATATTGGATAAATATGTTACTTGGCAGTGAAAGTCAAGCTTTAAGGTAAAGCTCAACTCTATAACCTTAACAGCAGATATGGTTCATCCAATTTCACAAGCAACTTGAATATAATAAAAAGATATTCTTTATTTTGACCTCATACAACAAATATTGTTTTTAACTGCTTTTTCATTGCAAAAATTATACATGATCTTTAAGAAAATTTTGAAAAGAAAATAATATCACCAATTTTGTCACCGTTCAAATACTGCCATTAATAGTTTGATTATGTTTCTTTTTGTTGCTTCTTCTACATAGAGGGATTTTTACCTAGTGCTAAGCAATCATTCAGTACATATAATTTCCTGCCTTTTTTTAACTTAATATTATAAAATAATGCTACTTTTCTTACAAACCTGTAATACTGTTCAGCAGGGAACTTGGTCTTCAAAGACATTAGATGTGTTTTCACGGTACCAAAATGTTCTCGAGCTTTCAAACACCTCTTTGGAACTGATCACACCAAAAAAAAAAAACCAAACAAGAAAAAAAAAAAAAACAATAATCAAACATCATAATGAAAGACCAAATTTCAAATACTTAATAGTGCTTAATACTTACTATTGCTTAATAATCTATGCAGTCTACCTGGAAATAAATCAATTTTTTTAAAAAGCTCATGACCAAATATAGGATATGAATCTCTGCTTTTCAACCTGGCTTTCAAATTTTCACCTCTAGTTCGCCTACTGATGAACCAATACTGAGAAATAAACAAAAATTTGCTGAAAGGGAATGTTAGGAAACACAGCGTGAGCTATCAGGACTGACCTCATCCCTAAGGGGCTGCACACCAGATGCACTCCTAGACAGTCCTCAAAGGAGGCGTAAAATTGATCTGCTTCTAGCTTTCATTATTTGGTGAAGAAGAAGTTTTACCAATTATTCTCAATCAGGCTGACCAACTACATATCATGGAGAAAAATGACTTGCCCCTGACACCTATAAATTACTTTGTTATACCATTCTCTATCTGAAAATGTATTTCAGCTCTTTCAGCTGTGCTTACAATGGAGGTTCCATGTTAAAATTTATCATAATTGATCTCCATCCATTCAAGGGACTAACTGTACACACATTCAGAACATTTTACAGTGGCCATTTCATATCTACAAATGCGTATTAAACCATATTCAATATCTGAAAGGTTTGGTGTGTTTTTGAAGCACCAAATAAACGTTGCTAAATACACAAGTGAACTATGATACTCCTACTATTATCATCAGCAGCAGGTCATCAAATAGAAAACATCCCATATTATGTGAAAGTGGAAAATCAATCAAAACACAGAATTCTGTAAACCTGTAAAAACGATAAACTCACCTACTCCAACTTTTATTCACCATAAAAGATGAGGAACATTTCTCATAATGAAATGACACAGAGCTGAAATGCTGTTTGGATGGTAAAGCTCTTTAAATGAGATTGATGAACTGGAATAAAACCTCAAAAGTCAAAACGAAACACTTACTGTCCTGAAACCCAGCACCTTGATGGACCCCTTGCAGTAGAGTTAAAATTTCCCGGGCTGTTTGTTCTAAACTCTGCACTACTTTTCGGATTTCCTAGAAAGAATTAAAAACCAAAATATCAGGTCAGTTCAACATCATTATTATCATAGCCTGAAACCAAATATGCCAGGTAGCACGTTTGATTATGACACCTTCACATACAGTGAAAACACTAACCATCTTCACAAGGACTGAACCGGCACAGACAACACCCAGGTCTGAATCCCGACTCCCGCCTCCTTCCTCTGAGACCCTCGGGAAGCCTTCGGGAAGCCTGAGGTTCCTATTTAACCTTCAAGGTAAGAGCCGCCTCCCCGCATCTCAACTTCCCCGCAGGACCCCACAGCGCTGAAAGGGGCTGAGGCACCTGCATGCCATTTGCAAAGACAAGAATAAAAGGCGACACAGGGGTGGGTCTTTCTCATTCACTCGTTCACTCATTCATTCTACAAACACTCACGGAGCACATCCCCGTGCTAGGCTTGTGTCAATGCTGGGGAGCCAAGTACAGCCCCCTCCTGTCGGGCAGTTCAACGGACATTCAGAAGACAGGACTTGCACAGGTTTCTTAAATGTTAATGCGTTACCAGAAAACGTAACAGGCAATCGATCATTTGGCCTGTGAAATCCAGGAGATGAATATGGGAGAGCGGGGGCGGGGGGGTGGAAAGCAGCAGATTTCAGGAAGAGCAGAGAGCATGCAAAACCTCTGAGGCCGGCACCTACGGGGAGCCGGAGAGATGAAAGGGAGGTAATGTGGCCACGACATAAGCAGAAGATGGGGTACAGTGACAATGGGGACACACACACACACACGCGCGCGCGCAGCTGGATTTTCGCCCTCCGTGTAATGAGGAGCCATGGGAGTTTAAAGAGAGGCCCGGAGGTGCTTTGAAGACACGACACACAAACCGCACACCGCCCGAGCCCCGGGAGCTGGCGGAGGCTTTCCGTCCACGGGTGCGGGGGGGGGGGGGGG